TCACAGGCTTGTCTAAATTTTGTTTAGTAAACTTAAACACGCTTCTTCAGCAATGCAATCTTGCATGGTGAGTGCACATACAGGCCATGGTGGTTGAGTGCATTACTTATCGTTTTAAACAATTGTACCTGCTGATTCCAAGTCTTTCTGTAGCTCTCCTCAACTGGTCCTATGAGAAGGGCCAGCTATCAGAACTCAAAGGATTATTCTTTTCACTCCTCTGTCTGAAATCTTCCGGGTGAACTTATTTTCTTTCCACTTCAGGATTATGGCTTCAACAGAGATCAGTAAACTTCAGTAGTTTACATTTTTGTCTGTAACCAATGCTATCAGTATGTTTTATTTTAAAAAATAAGGTTATGAAGGTCTTGCTCATTTGTTTTACCCATTATGAGAGATTTCTTGTGTGACACCTTGGTAACAAGACACCTTTTTATTGGTTAGCAGTTGGAACTGAACCACCTAAAATTAATTTGCACTAAGTGACAGGACTGCTTTATTATTGCTGACAGATCTCAGCTGGTGTCATGATTTTCAATGCTTTTTTGCACCTTTTTCCCTTTGTCATTTCTCAATATTACACATAACATAATTAATGGACATCTGTGGGGGGTTTTTTTTTACGTGTGTGGATTGGACAGGTTGTTACTGACATCCGGTGAGAATTTTATGTCAATACCACTTTTAAAATTAGATTTACTTAGAAAATTGGTGTTGTGTTCAAAACTTCTTTTTACACACTGTAAATATGCATATGGATTAGTAGAACAATGTTAAATTTCGATCTAGTAATACAGGGAAAAATTACCTTGAATAAAAATTTGTAAAGTCCGCTCAGCGGATATTTTTCCATCTGAATTAAAGGTTGAAAAGTTATATTTACCGCTGTCTGTACTGCTCAGGTTATTTATCCTAAGTGTTCCATTACTGGGATAAAACAGAAATCTTTCATCTGTCGTATTATATCTAGAACTGTTGCTTCTCCTGAATTTTATTACTGATGTATTTTTTAATAGTTGGAATCTGAATATTTCTGAGGTGCTGTCCGTCAGTTTGATGTCCAAAGTTCCTCCCAAAGTTCCATAACAATGAGCTCCATCTGGTCTGCCATCACAGTAACTTTCCACACCTGTAAATAATAATAATAATGAATTAAAGAAAAGATATCACTCATTTCTGTGTTTAGTCGCCACCAGAACATTTATGGCAGCATTTCCAAATGTTTATCTGAAACAGAAATAGTGCGACCTATCTCAGGTCACACAAAGTGAATGAGCACAGTTAGTCAACTGTGCTTTTTTTTTTTATAATTATATAAATTATAATTTATGTCCAAATAATAAAATAATTTGATGTTTCAGGTAACTGTTACTGCTGATGTTGCCCTATCATCATAACATCATGACCTATTGTGTTACTTAAGCTAGACCCATTTAAAATGTAAATAGTTCGGAGCCCCGCAGCGGACATGGGAGAAAAAAAATTAAGACGGACTTTTGCAAGATCTCGCAAAACAAACTCGGGATCTCGCAAAAGTTTCATACATCTCCTAAAACGTCGGAGCACTTTTGCGAATATGTGATGTCTTGTAAACCGAGCCAATATCAACTTTTGCGAGATCTCGCAAAAGTTGAATTAGCTTTTCTACAAACAAAATAAATTTTAAAAAAATTATTATTCAAATATAAATTAATCAGCTCAACGGTCATAACTATATCTACTTTCAGCATCTGCAAGGATGTCAAGATCACCCACAATAATTATTTTATCTGAACTGAGCACTAAATCAGAAACTCTGAGTAAGGGCTATGTGGATGATAGATAATAACAAATAATTTATGTGTTGTGAGTTTAACAACTGATTTATGAGAGTTTTGACAATTAGGGTGGATGAGGCTAAGTATCAGGATTTCTAATGAATGAAAATTCTGTCTCTCTATGGTTGATTAATTAGCAAGAGTGGAAGATTGCTGCTATACAGACTGCAGCACACTGCATCAGTGTGCTCTAAAATCATTGGCCTGCCTGTCAAAAATCTGGCACAGGTTTTCAGCCAACAGGCCCTTAGACAGGCAGCCAAAATCATCAACGACCCCTCTCACATTCTTCACCCCACATTTCAATGGCTCCCTCTGGGTGACGCCTCCGCTGGTTAGTTAGTAGAGTTGCCAACGGCTCCTTAAAAAATGGAACGGTAATATTACGCATTTCGTATTAAGCTGAGAAGAGACGCAGTTTGTCCCGTACTTCAGCTAGAATGAAAAAAAGACACAAAGCTGGAGTTATTCTGTGTGTTTACGCTGCACAGCTGCCTCTTCTTCTCTCATTCTCTAGGAAAGTTTTGCCAGGGGGCCAGGTGGGGCATTAACAGGGAAAGGGGGGCACAAAGAAATACTTTTCTTTCTTATTCTCATTTAAAATATCTAGCTCTTATTAAATAATTATCTGAATCTTGCAAACAAAAGTTTTATCTGACGTAAAATGTATAGAGCAGCATAGAAAGTATTTACTTGCTTTCAGGTTTCATTCAAATGTTAGTCTTTTCATTTGTTTCCCCACTTTTTTCCTTTTCAAAATCAAACACCAGTTTGTGAGAAGATTATCTTTTTTTTTAATAGGCAGATAAAGTTTTGCATTGGCATTGGCTAATTTGCAAATTGTATGTTAAAAATGTTCGTATTTTAAAATTCAAAACTGTTTTTGCCCAAAACATATGTGCGCTATATGTCAGTAAAAATACTATGCAAATATTGCTGTACTTGAATGCTGAATAAACACCAACAAAGCACTGATTGTATCTCTTGTACTTTATCAATGCAGTATCTAAAACCTTTGCACCATAGTGGTTAAAATCTCATTCTAATAAGAGTTAAAAGTGCGTTCGGTTATTAGGTTTATAGGGTTATTGAATTATGGTTAACAGTTGTTAAGATATTTTTTAACATTATCTGCCAATTACATCTGCCACCCTTCTCCAAGTCTGTGCATCTACCTGCCCCCCAACAAAAATTTTCTAGACACACCACTGCCTGGAAGACATGTGACTGTGGTTCTCGCTGTCTCGAACTTCACGTTTCTCAAAGCAGCATCGCCAATAATCAAAATAATATTTACCCCACGGGGTGTGTACAGGAGGGGACGGGGGTGTTTAGACTACAACAATATCCAGCACTGTTGCAATATCAGACTTTTTTAACTGATTGTACAGGATCCCGTGGCTGATTTAAACAACAACAACAACAACACTTTGACTACAAAACGAAGTATTAACGAAGGACTACATGAGAAAATTTGAACAGCTCACCATGACAGACTCCAAACATCATCAAAAACAATCCAACTACAGCTTCCATGTCTGCTCACTGTTGATCCACTCGGCAGCTTTCAAAATAATTAAAAACAGACGCGTGTGCGGCTCTGAACTGAAGCCAAGCGTCAGTGATAAGCCTCGGACAACGGGTTTTCAAAGAAAGCTAGTTTCAAGTCTTATTGAATTTCTGTTTATCCTTTCATCTGCTGAGAGGATAAAAGGAAGTGACAAGTTCTTGTTCCGCTTTTTAGTTTGACGAGAATAAAAATATATCGCTATTAACAGGGAGGAAGAGAACGAAACATTCGTCATTTATTTTGAAATAAGTCTCAAAACTGACAGATTACGTCAACGAGAAAGAGAAATGCCTACTAACAGATATGTGGATAACAAAATAAGCACAGGATCAATTGTGGCTTATATTTTCATCTTTAAGCGCAAAGTAAAAAGTAAAAACATGTCAGTCAGCATGGTGAGCACTGAGTGAAGAATATGTTTGCAGGAATATAAATATATAATATAAGTACAGCTTGTAACATACTATTATTTACATATACATATGTAGCAAGAGTGTGCTACATAATATGTGGTAAAGAATAATGATACTGCTTCACACTTTATTGTTGACCAGTTACACTTTTATTGCCTTTTTTTAGACATTATTTTTATTGTTGTTATGATTTAGTTTATTAGTTTTATTGATGTAGTCCCCAAAACATCAAAATATGCCATTTCAAAGGACGTGAAAAGGGAAAGACCATCTCTTCACCTACTCAACGACATATAAAAATCTTGCATGAAACAAAGATTTCACATTTTGAGTCATCAGTCCATAAAACTGCCTTCCAGTCTACAGTAGTCCATCAGATGTGTTTCATGGCCCAGGCAACCCTTTTTTTTAACTTATTCTGGAATCTTATAAATGGTTTTCTTGTTGCAACTCGACCTGTCAAACCTGCAACTCAAAACCTTCTCTTTACAGTCAAAACCGAAACTTGCTTACTATAATCACTATCAAGTTTTGAAGCTGTGGTCTTATTAAGTGTCTCACACAAGCTATTGACTTTCAGAAATGTATCTTCTGATTCTGTGTGGTTTGAGGTCTGCAGACCTCTTCCCCTCGGAGTGCCTCTTGATGGCAAAGGAAACTGCAGGCTGACATAATACTCACAAGGAATGGTACCACAGCATGTTCCAACACTACTTTTACAAAAGGCTCTATCTGTAGGAGCAGGGCTGTAAGTAATCAAGAAACTTTGGACGCATGTAGGAAATGGTAGCACAAACTTTCAAGGCTTAATCCATTTCCGTTGCTGCAGAACAGCTTTAAGTTGTTATACATAATGTGTAGCAAGAGTGTGGTACATAAATGCATGCCCTTGTGGTTAAAAAAAAACAGAAAGTACTTCTTCAGACTTTAAATTTAGTTTTATTTATGTAGTCCCACAACGCAAGATATGTCTTCTCAGAGAACTTTAGCCAAGGCCCTTTTATATACAGTGGCTTGCAAAAGTATTCAGTCCCCTTGAACTTTCTCACATTTTGTCACATTACAGCCACAAACATGAATCAATTTTATTGGAATTCCACGTGAAAGACCAATACAAAGCATACCACATCATCTGTAAAAAACAGCGGAGGCATGTCATGGCTGCCAATGGAACTAGGACACCAGTGTTTATTGATGACACAGGACATACGCAGCCGAATGTATTTTGAGGTGTTCAGAGACATACTGTCTGCTCAAATCCGGCTAAATGCCATCCAGTTGAAGTTCTGTTGCCCGACACTACACAACATAAAAACGTGACCCTTTTTAACTTGATTGTTAATGTTCGACTCAGATGTTATTTCAGTTCTTTAGCTCCTTTCCTCTAAAGTTTTTGCTCTCCCCTTTACCATGGTCTTTTTTTTCTTTGACTATTCCTGCTTTTAAGAACCAGAAATAAACATTTTTGTTACCTCTTTATTCACACACTGAAATCACATTGTAAACTATATGGTTTATTATAAAATGCAACACAAACACACCAAAGGGTGTAAACAAATGTGTCCTTGTGCACTACATATGACAAAAGAAAAAAGAACAAGAAGAAGAAGAACCTAGTCCTCATTTGCACACCTATAAGGACACACAGCGAATTTACAGCAGGTGAAAGGTGACACTAGGTGTTGGAGTAAGGACTCATTTCAGTCATTAAAACAGAGTTGTCTGGAGATTCCATCCTTTGTGGAACAGCAGAGCCTTCCAATATTGTTTTTTTCTTCCAAGTGAAGTAGATCCAAATCCCACTTAATGATATAATTACCACCGCAATTACCACTGCTTTCAAACCATGTATGAACCAGGAAGTACCTGTGTAGAGACACACACATATTTCTGAAAAGTTAGAGCTGTGAAATAAAACACACTTGAGAGTTTTCACTCTTGCACCATATTTTACAAGACAAATGTCACAGTCCTCCTCTGTATCCTGTTTGTGTGCAGGTGGCTGTGTGTGTATTCTCTCATCCCGCCTTACCTTACAGGGAGGGATCTGCCAGGATCCCCATCCCCATATCAGATGCACCTGAAACACTCAAGCATGTGTGTGAAGCATCTGGCAATGACCTGACTCCTATTTCAGCTGGGATCTGACCTCTAATCTTTTCCTAAGTGTTGTTTAACTGTGATAGTGAGCTCCTCGCTGATCTGCAAGTCCTTTTCCCTGTTATATTCACAGATATTTCTAATGTGTCTCATGCTGTCTATATAACGGTTCAGCAGAGCCCTGTGAGAGAGTGTGTTGCAGAGGAGATTCTGTACAGGAAACTGAGAAGACACTCAGATTCACAGAACTTTCTTTCTGTCAGAGTTTGTTAATAAGAGGCTTTTAAACTTAGAACTTGTGAAATAATTTGTAGCGCTTGAATTCACTTTAGGGTGATGAGGGCGATTATCTCTTTTTCTTTTCATGTGTTTGGTTGGATAGGTTGTTACTGACATCTGGTGAGAATTTCATGTCAATAGCACCTTTAAAATTACATTTACTTAGAAATTTGGTGATGTGTTCAATACTTCTTTTTACACACTGTATATATGCATATGAATTACCAGAACAATGTTAACTTTCAATCTAGTAATGCAGGGAAAAATTACCTTGAATAAAAATCTGTAAAGTCCGCTCAGCTGATATTTTTCCATCTGAATTAAAGGTCAAAAAGTTATATTTACCGCTGTCTGTACTGCTCAGGTTATGTATCCTAAGTGTTCCATTACTGGGATAAAACAGAAATCTTTCATCTGTCGTATTATATTTAAGACTGTTGCTTCTCCTGAATTTTATTACTGATGTATTCTTGGACAGTAGGAATCTGAATATTTCTGAGGTGTTGTCCGTCAGTTTGATGTCCAAAGTTCCTCCCAAAGTTCCATAACAATGAGCTCCATCTGGTCTGCCGTCACAGTAACTTTCCACACCTGTAAATAATAACAATAATAAATTTAAAAAAAGATATCACTAATTTCAGTGTTCAGTCGCTACCAGAACATTTATGGCAACATTTCCAAATGTTTACCTAAAACAGAAATAGTGCAACCTATCTCAGGTCACACAAAGTGAATGAGCATTACACAGGTCTGTGACTAACCCATAGCGAGGCTACAGCCAACTATTTCCTAATCAGAGCTCACTCTGTTTCTTGTTTCATAACAAACATTTAAAAATTATGGGTTTCATGTCCAAATAATAAAATGACAAGACTGAACCTGATATGAAAGAAGGTTACTCTTCATATTGCCTTATCATCATAACATCATGACCTATGTAGATACTTAAGACAGACCAATTTAAAATGTCAATAGCTTAAATACAAAAAAAAAACATAGCAAGAATGAAACAATTTTTGATCATTTGATGTTTCAGGGAACTCCTCACATTGGTCTAGTTAAAACACTAAAAATGATCAAATAATGCAGAGTATTTGAATTACACTAACATAGTGTCTGTAAAATGCAATTAAATAAGTAATTGAGGGATTTTCCAAAACTTAAATGCATTAAATAAATATTTGAAAAAAGGGTACGCCTTTCATCCTATTTTATTATTGATATTATTATTCAAAATAAATTAATCAGCTCCAACAGTCATAACTATATTTACTTACAGCATCTGCAAGGATGTTAAGTTCAACCACAATAATTATTTTATCTGAACTGAGCACTAAAATTTTCTGGAGTGGAAGATTGCTGCCACACACCACGTGGACCTGTGCTTTAAGGACACTGTCAGGGCTGGACTGGACAAAATTTGTGACTAGAGACCTGCTCACCAGGTATATAGGAAAAACCATAAAGCCTTGAATGAAAACAAACGTGATATATACTGTCTTGTTGGTATATATGTATCAATCTAATAAACTTAAACCTACACCACCCTCCCTATTCTGGTCTTCTAAACAGTACTTAGCCGAAACCCAAAGACTGCTTGGTTGAGTTAACTTCCTGAACGATCTACAACACATAGTGGAAACCTGAAATTAGAAGACTAGAGGTGAAACTTGATCATTACTGAATATTAAAAATAATAAATGACAGATTTAGTGATATTTTCATAAACTATTTATTTACCACATAAAAAAGGAGCATGGCAGGGCAAAATATTTTTTCTAACATGGCAACCTTTAAAAAGTGAAAGAAGACAGCATGAACACACAGAATAATTCCAGCTTTGTGTCTTTTTTTCATTGTAGCTGAAGCACAGGACAAATTGCGTTCCTTTTCACCGCAATATGAAACGCGTAATATTTTCTCTACGAGAAGATTGCGTTCTCTAATAACTAACCTTATGAATAAAATAAAGTTTACCATTAGTAACATCGTAGCACCCGCCCAGCAGTATAGAAACTCCGTCATGCTGGCTAATACGCAGTGCGAGTTATTGTTACTGACTGTAAAAAGTTAGCACAACGAAAGTAAACTAAACTTGGTTTATATCTGACCCAGATAGACTGCAGGTCATAACTTCTCACCTGAAGTTCAGTTCCGCTGATACTCGGACCAGCGGTGAGGCAGGAGGCCCACCTGCTGGCCTCCACCACTTGCTAATGTTATTGAATCTGTGGAAGCTCTGCTATAGCCACCACCAAACAATTGAGTTATTTCTACACATCTGCCAGTATCTGGCCAATCCACCACCTTTCATTGTTTATACCGTTACAAAAAAAACCATAAAAATTAAAAATCACAATCGGCCCACCTGGTATGCCCGATGGCCAGTCCAGCTATGGACACTGACAGTATGACCCAAGGTTTTGATTCATCTAATAAACTAAACATTCATCCTGCTGCAACCAGGTAAAAGGGACCTAATGTTCAACTTATCCACATTTAACTGTTTTACTCTTTGGTGGAGCTGCGGACCCTATAATGTTTTGTTGTTGCTGTTGTTGTTTTTTTTTTTTATTTATTTTTTATTTTTTTGCTTTAAATCTCTTTTTACTTTTTGTCAGTCTCTAAGGGGATACCAGGAGGCGAGAAGTGACGCTGCTTCCTGGTCCCAACTCTGTTTAGCCACGTTTTGAGGTTTAATAAATTTGTCAAGGTTTGGAGAAATGAGAGTTGCTTCATCCAAATTGGGATGGATCCCCTTTCCCATAAAAAAAAGACCAGGTTTCCCCCACAAAGTTTTGCAATTATATACAAAAAACATATTGTTTTTTAGGGCACCACTCGGACAGCCAGCAATTTTAGAAAAACTAAGATATCCTGTACTTGTTTGACTTGCTGGTAATGGTAACAAATGAACACTACAGAGTACAACATTGTTTTACCAAAGTTACACAACCATGCAATAGTTTTGTCACCTTCAATTGACTAAACCAGATCTCGTTACCGCTGGCGTCAAAAAAGAAGATTTTACCGTTAGCCAAGCAGTTTTAAATTTCCCTCACCGTCCCCTGCTCTGGCACCTGGAAGACAATTGACTGTGGTTGCTGATGTCTATAACTTCACGTTGCTCAAAGCAGCATCAGAATAATAATTCCTCTGCAGGTGTGTACCGGGGATTTATTTAGACTACAACAATGTCAGACTTATTTTACTGATTCCCATTGCTGAAAACAACAACACATTGACTACAAAACGAAGTATTAACGAAGGACTACAGGAGAAAATTTGAACAGCTCATCATGACAGACTCCAAACATCATCAAAAACAACCCAACTACAGCTCCCATGTCTGCTCACTGTCGATCCACTCAGTAGCTTTCAGAATAACTAAACATGTAAGCAGCTCTGAACTGAAGCAAAGTGTCAGTGATAAGCCTCGAATGAGAGGGGTTTAAAAATATTTTTTTTAAAAGCTGGTTTCAAGACTTATTGAAGTTTTCTTTATTCTTTCATCTGCTGAGAGGATAAAAGGAAGTGACAAGTTCTTCCACTTTTTAGCTTAAAGAAAACAGAATTATGTCGTTATGGTCTGAGAGTAAGAGAACGAAACAATCTTCATTTATTTTGAAAGAAGTTTTGAATCTGAGATTATGTTAATAAGAAAACTGTGTTACTGTATTAAGAGAAATGATCAGTTACAGATATGTGGATAACAAAAGCACAAGATCAATTGTGGCTTACTTTTCATCTTTAAACACAAAGTAAAAAGGAAAAACATGTCAGTCAGCATGGTGAGCACTGAGTGAAGAATATGTTTGCAGGAATATAAATATATAATATAAGTACAGCTTGTAACATACATTTATTTACATATACATATGTAGCAAGAGTGTGCTACATAATATTTAGTAAAGAATAATGATACTGCTTCACACTTTATTGTTGACCAGCTACACTTTTGTTGCCTTTTTTTAGACATTATTTTTTATTGTTGCTATGATTTAGTTTATTAGTTTTATTGATGTAGTCCCCAAAACATCAAAATATGCCATTGCAAAAGACTTTACATACAGACCAGACGCTTTCTCTTACTTATTTGACGTATGCTGTTACACACTGAGGAACCATCCCTTCAGCATGAAACAAAGATTTCACATTTTGATTCATCAGTCCATAAAACTGCCTTCCAGTCTACAGTTCATTGCAATTTCTGTGTAGGAAATATTTTTAAATGTTATGATGGTCTGTCTTTCTTCTAGGGTTAATTTCCTTTTTCTTGCCATTTTTATGGAAACACATGATCTTCTGCTGTACATTACAGTTCAAATAATACTCACAAGGACATGGTATCACAGCATGTTCCAACACTAGTTTTGCAAACGCCTCTATCTGCAGGGGCAGGGTTGAAGTAATCAAGAAACTTTGGACGCATGTAGGAAAAACTTTCAAGGCTTGAGTAACCTCCATTGCTGCAGAACAGCTTTAAGTGTTGGTGCTTCACTTCTTGTTCCCTGAAAAGGGAAGTGGTAACATACTATACATATATGCACATAACATGTTGTGTAGCAAGAGTGTGGGAAATACTTGCATGCCCTTGGGGTTAAAAAAAAATAGTAGTACTTCAGACTTTTTTGACCAGTTATACTATGGTGTTTTTTATTATTCAGTCCCACAACACAAGATATGCCTCCTCAGATACCTTTACCCAAGGCCCTTTCACATAGGACATAGCATGCATTGCGCTGATCACTAGCTAGAGAGAATGATACATCATACAGCCATGTATACCAGCAATAATTTTGTAAATGACAAGCGTCACCAATCAGACAATATCACGTCAGACAGTTTTTTTTTTAAAAAAGAGTCAAAACTGAAAACCTGGAAACCAAAACTTTGTCAAATGTGGGGTTTTTTTGCAACATTCTTTCCACAAACTCAAGTTTTCAAACAGTTGCAACATCTTCCACACTGTGTCAGTAGCTTCTGTACTGCATTTTCATCAAAATGGTGGTAAAAAAAAATCGGCACAATTGTTCTCTCATGTCTTCAACCCAGCTGCGATGGCTGTGCGCAATGCGCCAAGTTACAAAAATCCAAAGGTGAATGACCAGCCGATGTACTGCCTTTAAATTGGTAAATTCAGGATGTGATCTCACAAATTGTCTTGCGACACCCGCAACACAAACAACACATCAAGCATAAAAACCCCATAAGGTCTCCCAGCAGCTCACAGAGGAAAGCCACCAGTATCAACTGTCCATTAAATACTATGTGTTATAATCTCAGGATAATAATGCTCGAAACTCAGGGTCCACAATCAGGACGTTTAATGACCACTTTCGGAGGCATCAACAGTTAGTCACAACACATACAGGAACATGTTTCCCACACAACATTCCGACAGGGAAAGCCCTGAAAAACCTCTGAAGGTTCCAGGGTGTAATGCCCCCAAACATACATTAACATCAACACTCTCTACAACACTATGGATCAGGTTAAATAGTTGTCATGGTATCTCAATGGCATAACGATACTGATATTATTGATAGTATTGTTATCAGTCTGGAGCATGGGTATATCATGGGTATATATGAATGTATTAGCATTACTTCTAGACTCATCACAGTGTTAGCCAGTGCAGAAGTTTAAAAATGTTTTGTTTATGACTGCCGATTTGATGTTGCTTTGTCATTCACACACAGGAAGCATTTACATGTACAAGGTGGTTCTCAAGCCAACTTAAATATTTAAAGGTTAAACAGAGTCACTCAACACTGGTCATGTTTGATTCAAAGAAACATGATACCGATATAATAGACTTAACATTGACTATTAACTGCAGCTACATTAAATAGTCATTTCTGTAAACTCAACCTAAACAAGAGGCAAGGGAGAACTACATCCCTAAAGCTTTACGTAAAGAGGTAATCTGACGATTTTATTCTCCTGTAGCTGCAGGAGAATAGAGGGTGCAGGAGGGATAGAAAGATATGTGAGTTAAACTGGCCTGACTTTACCAAGTCAAAAACTAGTCAACTTGAAATAAAAACAGAAGCACAAAAAACACTCACAGTGTGGGTAACACAGTGCTTCTAATCAAACCTAGAGAGAATATATTTGTCAATTTTCAGTACCCACCCCCTGTACAGGACGGTGATTTTCTACTGGGTCTTACCCAGTAGATGATGCAGGGTTTAGCTGGAGCCAGTGTGGGTGAGGGGACTCGCCCAGCCTGACTGCACTGATGACCAGGTGTCTTCCCTGATTGCCCTGATATGAAGAAACCTGAGTACGCTTGCAGGTCAAACTGTATCATCTCCCCTCTTGATTGTGGTACTTGTTAACCTATAGCAGGGGTAGGCAACTCCAGGCCTCGAGTGCCGGTGTCCTGCAGGTTTTAGATCGCACCCTGGGTTAACACACCTGAATCAAATGATTAGTTCATTACCAGGCCTCTGGAGAACTTCAAGAAATGCTGAGGAGTCATTTAGCCCTTTAAATCAGCTGGGATGGATCACGGACACATCTAAAACCTCCAGGACACCGGCACTCGAGGCCTGGAGTTGCCTACCCCTGACCTATAGGATGCTTTTAGAAGCCTAGAGTGCAGCCTTCGAGGGTGTGTTACCTGGAAAGGCTAGAACAACCTACACAAGCTGTTTGGAGTAATAAGGATTAATACTCAGATTTATACCTTTATTTTCTTTTACAAAGGGTTAAGAGAAAATCTACAATTAAATTGACTCTAATTGTGAGAGATTTTATCAAAGCAACTTGGCACAAGCAAAGCAAAAGCACAAATTTTAAAAAATCGATTTTGTTCTTATATTTGGGAGGAGAGAGATTCGAGGAGATCTAAAGAAGCATTTATATGCATGCAGATGAAAACGACACATGTTGCACACAGCTAGGGCTCAGGGATAATCCAATTTTTCTTATTATATTATTCTTTCTATGATTTAATCAGCTTTAGCGCATATTTATGTAAATTAGATCACAAATTGTTACGTTTAGTTCAAAGTTAAAATGATATTCACAAACTGAGGCTGTATTCATCTGATCTTTATCTGAATTTTAGGTGTTTTTAAAAAAAAATATTTCACTGTTATTCTTATAGATGAAGCAGCTCAAACATCTTTCAGTGATTTTATTGGATGTCATGGCTGCAAAACATGTTACTGATTTAAAATCAAGTATTTGTGAAAGACTACATGAGAATAGTTGAACAGCTCACCATGAGACACTCCAAACATCATCAACAACAGTCCAACTACAGTTTCCATGTCTCCTCACTGTTGATCCAGTCAGCAGCTTTCAAACTTCAAAACCAAACGTGTGTGTTTTGCTCTGAACAGACTGCAGTGTGTCCTGTCAGCAATCGGCCTCAAAGGAGAATGTGTGAATGTGTTGGTGTCAGGTTTTACTGAAGTTCTGTTTATCTTTTCACACACTGAGAGGAAAAAAGGAAGTGACATCAGTTATTCTTCCACTTTTTAGCTTTCAAGCAAATAGACTTCATGTGTGAAGGACTGTGAGAAGGAGAACAAAACATTTGTCATGTATTCTAAAAGAAGCTCTGAGACGGAACTTAAGCTGACTTAGCTTTAGACGTGATGTTCATTGGATTTTTGTTCCCTTTGTACAGAGATGAGCTATCAAGAAAGCAACTCGCTAGTACTGACTATGTGAAAAATTTAGAGTGATCACATTAGATGTAATAGTGATACATTTCAGACTTTTCACAGTGTTACTCAGTGCAGCAGTTTTCAAACTGTTTTGATTATTGTAACAGATTCATTCACACTGTACTGTTTTTTCACACTTGTCTAAACTTCATGCTTTTTCTTTATAATGTTCCTTTTCTCAAGCAAAGTTTCTCACACCATTTCCTCTTCTTTGCTCAAGTAAGGTTAACCACCCAACAATGGTCATAACCTACAAAGCCGACAGGAGGAAGACGTGTGTTAAACTGGCTTCTAAGTACAAATAAGTGACATAAGATTCAACATTTGACAGTGCACATGTTACGATGTGGTGCTACATATATAAATCTGATCTGGATGTATTTTAAATTAATGAGATCTGTTTTTGTTTACAATTCAAGTCAAAAAATAGTGGAAATGAAAAATGAAAGGTTTTTTGGAGTTCAACTTAGAGAAAACTCTGGCTTCCAGTAGTGTCTTGAAAGGAGTGCATATGAATGTGAGTGGCTATTTATTTTCATAGCAATGCTATTTAGGTCTTGAATGCAGGGCCGGGAGTTTTAGCTTTTATCAACAAAGAAAAACCCAGGTGAAGAGTTAGGGATGTATTTCTCCACTGCCTCTTGTTTATGTGGCAAGAGGTTATAGAGATGACTGGTAGGTAACGTAGCTCTAGATAACAGCAAATGTTAATGTCAGTTAATGTGTAACAATGTGGCATCATGTTTCTTTAATAAGCATGATCAGTGTTGGGTGACATTGCTTAATATTCGTTACGCAAGCAAAAAAGAGGAAGATGGTGTGAGAAATTTAAGTTAGCTTGAGAAATGGAACTTTACAGAGAAAAGCATGAGGTTTTAGACCATGTGAAACAAGAGTGCAGTGTGAATGTATCTGTTTTACCACCTTGTAAATGCAAATCAGGTTCCTTTGTGTGGATCACAAAGCAAAATCAAATCAGCAAATTCATTTTTTCACACCAAAACGTTTTTTAAATAAAAACACAAGTTAAGACTTTGATGAGGCTACAAGTGATGCTAATAATCTGACCACAATTTCAAAGTTTTCAGATGCAAACAAGTCAGTACAAGAGAGATGATAAATTGTCAACATGTGATATCCCAAGGTCGCAGATTGATTACCGGTTGGCCGTGATCCCTACCTGCCTCAGGTACTCCAAGATCACAGCCACTCGCTGCACATGCACGCACAGGTGTCGCTTTGAATGATGTGTGTAGAAGAAGCATCCAGCCCATGAAGTGTTGGAGAGTTGCTTGGGGTCTGAGCAGAATGATCATGTCGGTTTTTACCTTCATTTTAATAATATTTCAGCATAGAAGCTCAGAGACATACAGATATACAGAGAGAGATGTTGGAACAGTTTAAAAACTTGAGCATTTGTAGAAAAAACTTGTAGAAAGTCTCGGCTTCTGGTTTTGACTTCTCCTCCTATACCAGCAGAATTGGCAAAAGTACAGACATTCAGTATTTAAGCAGAAATGCAGATACAAGTGTTGAAAAATTAGCTCTTTGGAGTATGTTTCTACCAGCTATTTTGGTACAAAGCTTACTGAACTTTTTGCTATATTAATGTAACAATCAAATAATATCAGTAGATGGCAGTAAAAACTTTATAATTACCACTGTCATTCCTGTTTAGGTTATTGATCCTAAATGTTGCATTGGTGAGAATAAAGAGAGATCTATGCTTTGTGATATTACGAAGAACTGTATTATTTATTATACTGACATCTAGTAGTCTATTTACTGAATTCCTGAACAGCATATTATAGTTCATCAGTTGGATGACCACAGTTCCTCCCAAAGCTCCAAAATCTGAGTCCCATTCTGTCTGCCATTACAGTAGGTTTCCACACCTGCATTTCCCAACCCCCTGAGCCATGGTCGCTCTGTAACCAGAAGGTCGCCGGTTCGATCCCTGGGCTCTCTGTCCTGGTCGTTGTGTCCTTGGGCAAGACACTTTACCCTACCGTCTACTGGTGTTGGCCAGAGGGGCCGATGGCGCGATATGGCAGCCTTGCTTCTGTCAGCCTGCCCCAGGGCAGCTGTGGCTACAACTGTAGCTTTCCTCCACCAGTGTGTGAATGCGAGAGTGAATGAATAGTGGTATTGTAAAGCGCTTTGAGTGCCTTGAAAAGCACTATATAAATCCAATCCATTATTATTATTAAATAATGATAATCATCATCATCATCAAGTAAAGCAAAAATATCACCAGTGTGAGCGTTCGGTCTCTACTACTGTGGCAACATTTGCAAATGTTTAAATAAAACAGTGAGTGTCGTTTATAAAGAGCAAAAACAAGGTTAAATAAATACTTGAGTAAATGATTCATCTTCAGTTCAATTTTATAATGAATATTGTTATTTATATAGTTTAATCAGCTCAACTGTAATAACTGCATTTATTTTAGGTGCATATGTATGTAAATTAGATCATAACATTTGATGTTTATTATTACAAGACACCAAACAATGTCATTAAAAACAACATTCAAATTATATTCACAAACTGAGACTGTATTCAGCTGATCTTTCTCCAAATTATTATTTTTTCAGTGCCTCATTGTTTCAAATGCTTCATCAATAAGAATATTATCAGACTTATTTCGCTGATTGTACTGGATCCTGTGGCTGCAAAACATGTTTTTGATTTTAAAATGAAGTATTAATGCAGGAAAAGTTGAACAGCTCACCATGAGAAACTCCATACATCATCAACAACAGTCCAACTACAGCTTCCATGTTTTCTCACTGCTGATTCAAGCAGCAGCTGTCAGACCTTTACTCTCAAAAACAAATGTATGTTTTACTCTGAACAGACTGCAGTGGTAATGTTCAAATAATTTTATCATCCAAGTGTTTTCAGTGTGGGAGAAAGTACTCAGGGCCTTCAAGTTACACACTATGAAAGGCAGCAACAAGTGTAATATTCAGAAACTTAAAGTATGTATCAGCAGCAGAATGGACCTAAAAATAAATGTCCATGTTTGTTTGAGTTCTATGAAGCTTTGAGTATTTTGGATTAGTAGCACTGCTGTGTTTGTTGCATCATATTGCTGTAATTGTTTATATGCTTTATATATTCTGAGGTAAGTTGATCTATAGTGTTACATCATATTCTATAAGGATGTTCTGTGTTTGTATACTTTCTGCCCAGTTTGACCCATTTAGCAGATGTCAGCCTGTTTAAGGCTCTGATATCTATTCTGTATGACTTAAAGCAGTTATGACATGGTCTGATTTTCACACCCAATAAAGGAATATTTCATATATCAGTCTACTCTTCATTTTATCAGAAACAGTTATCACAGCTCGTACATTTTCTTTTTACACATATATGTAAACATTGAGCCAAATTTAGTAATGCCAACATAATAACTATATAAATATAAATAACTGCAACTTTACTGAAGCTAGAGTTCACTGCTGTAATAACTAATAATGATTAATATAATAATAACTGTAATATTGGCCATATTATATTTACATTACCAAAGTGAGATGACTTTAGCTTCATTAACAAAATTAGCTGATTGTTATTTATTGGCTAATCTTAAAATGACTGTTCAGTACAGAAATTAAGCCCAACAATCATGTCTCAGCCTCGGATACTTTTCAAACAAAGCTCATACAAACAGATGAACAAAAACATTTTCTCCTTCATTTCTGTCAAACAATGCTGTATGAAACATTTCCAGCGGTGAGTATCATGGTTGCCATTTCACAAGCCTCGCACTTTTGGCCCTCTCGGCCTTTGACGTACATAGACCGCGAAGGCCGCGTCCTCCAAGGATGCAGACCCTGAATTTGGACACGCCATGTCTCCCCAGTCTCTGTCTTGAGGTCAGTCGGTGTGTTTCCTGTTTTACATTGAAGGTCTTTGTCTTATGTCAGTGTATTCTGTTTTGCTTCCTCCCAGTTTCATTTCATCTGATTAGTGTCAGCTGTGTTCCCTGCCCGTTTCCCCATGTTTCCTGTTCCTTGCCTCAGCTCACCGTCCTCAGGTTAATTTGTTATTTCTAGCTTTTCTCAGTATAGGTTCTGTTAGCTTTGTTTTGTTTGTTTATCACCAACTGCAAGTAAAAGCTCACTCTCAGAAAAGTCAGTGCCTGTACTTGGGTCCTTACTTACCTCTCTACATGACCTGATCATGACCGTGACAATGTTACTGTCAAGGTTGGTTAGGTGAAGGACTTAATTGCAAGACTTAAAGCTGGTTGAAAGTAAAAGGGGGTTTATTTACAGAGGAAAACCAGGTGAAATATATACATATAAACAGTACAGCAGGGGAAGAGGGGCTCCGGGGAAACCAGGGGAGAATGTCCAGTGCAGGGAAATATCCACACTCCTCTTTGCATTGTCTGTGACTACAAGCACTCCATATATATGTATATATATATATATATATATATATATATATATATATATATATATATATATATTAGGGGTGCAACGATACACAAAATTCACGGTTCGGTTCGGTTCGATAATTTGGTGTCACAGTTCGATATATTTTCGATACAAAAAAAAATGTTCATGCCTTTTTAATTTGTCATTTATTAAAATTATAAATATATATTTTAACTCAAAAGTACAGTTTTTAAATTTAACCCTAACCCTTGTGCGTGTTTTTTATTTTGACAGCGAATGCGCACCTGCGGACCACTTATGTGCAGCCCCGGTAATTTAGCTCATATAGTGCGTGTGTAAAAGCAGCAGGATATATATCTTAGTTATGCTGAGCCAAATAAGACAGGTCAGGGTGAAGAAGTGGCAGCCAAAGAAAAGCTTACCACAAAACGGAAAAGTTATGACAAATCAGACTATAAGGCAAAAAGAAAGTGCAGCTTTATGGTTCCATGGACAAAAGAATTTCTGTGGCTGCAATATGACGAGCTATATAACCGGGGCTGCACATAAGTGGTCCGCAGGTGCGCATTCGCTGTCAAAAAAAAAAAAAAAAAACGCGCACAAGATATGAAGTTGCAAAGTGTGTTTGCATACATAAGATTTTCTGGAGGAGGACAGACATTTGTTTAGAACTCTTAAAGATGTCGAAGAAGCAAGCCCTTAAGCAATAACTTTGGTGTTCCTCCACCTCCAAACAAATGTCAGAAGGAGTCCGAACCACAAAAGAAGCACGTATTCTCGGAAGAGTGGTTGCAGGAGGTGAGCTGGCTTCAAACAAATGATGAACGCACAGAGATGTGGTGCGGAATGTGCCGTGAAAATCCCACTCTAGTGGACAAAAACGGTGCCTTTTATTTGTATGCAAACGCGTGTTGCAACTTCTTATCTGGTGCGCGTCTTTTATTTTGACAGCGAATGCCACATGCGGACCACTTATGTGCACCCGTGTAAATAACATAATGTTCTGCCGGGTGTGTTGTTGGTTTTCTCTCGATTTCTGAGTCGACAAGCGCCTTTGTTACTGGGACCAGTCATTTTAAGAAAGGCCCCCATTAGAACCCATGAGAAATGCAAGAAATGCATTATTGCTCAGTCTGCAATATCTTTCCCAGAACAAACACCAATTGCAAATAACATACTAAAAATAAACCTGAAAAATCTGTTTAGAACAGCGTACTATGTTGCAAAGAGTGAACTACCACTGGCAAAATTTATCAGTCTTTGCAAACTTCAAAAAGCAAATGGCCTAGATCTTGGTTCCACTTACCTCTGACCCGTGACTTCAGTGGAAATTTCAAATTCAGGATCTGACACAGACTGATTCATGTCCTACACAGTTCTTACAAGTTCATAGAAATTTCTGTTCAATTAGAACCAAGTATTTGAGTTGATGATTGTAATTTTTATACAATGTTGTAATTTGTTTTCAACAATTTTTTGATTAATGTTTTGTTTCCTTTACAATATTATACTTTAATGTATAATATTGTAAAGGAAACAAAACATCAATCAAAAAATTGCTCTCTTTTTTATTCGGGCTACTTACATTTATTTTGGGCTACCAAAACTGAAGAGTCCCTGCCCGAAGGGCTACCAGGGATTTTGAAATTTTGAGAGCCCTGAGATATATTTATTTTTTTAATTACTTTTGTTTCAGCAACATTAAATTTAAAATTGTACTTTTGAGTTAAAATATATATTTATAATTTTAATAAATGACAAATTAAAAAGGCATGAACATTTTTTTTGTATTGAAAAAATATCGAACCGTGACACCAAAGTATCGAACCGAACCGAACCGTGAATTTTGTGTATCGTTGCACCCCTAGTATAT